GAGGTGGCAGCATAGTGGTATACAGTTGGGAAAAGTTGCCCTGGGAATCCTCAACATTGACTCCGGACCCCATGAAGTCTCATGCCATCAGGTTAAACATGTGCAAAGAAACGTCCTGCTGATTTCCCTGTACGATCCTCCCTCGGCTGATGTATTCCTCCATGTTGAACAACCCTTGGAGGAAGCACTGAGGGTGACAAGGGCACAAAATGTACTCTAGTGGGGGATTTCAGTGTCCATCAACAAGAATGTCTCAGCAGCAACACTATTGATCGAGCTGGTCTGGTCCTAAAGGGCAAATCTGTTACAGTGGTCTGTAGTAGGTGGTGTGGGAACCAAAAAGAGGGAAAAAACATACTTGACTTCATCTTTACCAATTTGCCAGCTGCAGTTGAATCTGTCTGTGACGTCCAAGCAAGACCACTCAGTCCTTATGGAGCCAAATTGCTCTCTTCGCATTGAGAATATCCTCCATTGTGTTGTGTGGCACCATCACCATGCTAAATGGAACAGATTTCAAACAGATCGAGCAACTCCAGACTGGGTATCCATGAGGTGCTGTGAGTCATTGATACCAGCACAATCCACAACATCATGACCCAGCATATCCCCCAGTCAATATTACCTTCAAGTCAGGGGATTAACCCTGGTTCAATTGAGAATGCAGGAGGGCATGCCAGGAGAAGCACCAACCACATGTGAAGATGAGGTGTCGTCCAAACAGTGTCAAACAGCATAAGCAGAAAGTGATTAAATAAAGCTAAGCAATCCCACAATCGATGGATCAGAACTAAGCTCTGCAGTTCTCCTACATCCAGTTGTGAATGAATGATTGTGGACAATTAAATAACTCTCACTGGAGGAGGAGGCTCCATAAATATCACCATCCTTATTAATGGAAGAGCCCAGCACAGGAGTGCAAAAGATAAAACTGAAGCAGCAATCTTCAGTCAGAAGTGCCAAGTGGATAATGCCTCCTCCAACGGTCCCCAGCATTAGACTGTAGATACCAGTCTTGGGCCAACTTGATTCGCTCCATATCAAATTGAGAAACAGTTGGAGGTACTGGATACTGCAAAGGCTATGGGCCCTGACAACATTCCAGCAATTGTACTGAAGACTTGTGCTGCACAACTTGCTGCTCCTCAGCCAAGCTCTTCCAGTACAGTTATAGCACTGGAATCTACTTGACAATATGGAAAATTGCCCAGGTATGTCATGTACACAAAAGGCAGGACAAATCCAATGTGGCCAATTAACACCTCATCAGTCTACTCTCGGTTACCAGTAAAGTGATGGAAGGTGTCATCAACACTGCTATCAAGCAGCACCTGCTCAGAAATAACCTGCTCAGTGACTCCCAATTTGGGTTCTGCCAGGGCCACTCAGCTCCTGACCTAATTTCTGCCTTGGTTCAAACATGGACAAAAGAACTGAATTCCAGAGGTGAGGTGAGAGCGACAGCCCTTGACATAAAAGCCACATTTGATCTGAACGTAGCAACAAGGAACCCTAGAAAAACTGGAATCCATGAGTATTGGGGGCAAACTCTCCACTGGTTGGAGTCATACTTGGCATGTAGGAAGATGGGTGTGCTTGTTGGTGGTCAGTCATATATCAGCTCCAGGACATCTCTGCAGGAGTTCCGCAGTGTAGTGTCCTAGGCCCAACCATATTCAGCTGCTTCATTAATGACCTTCTTCCCCATCGTAAGGTCAGAAGTGGGAATGTACAGCACTATTTGACTCCTATACAGACTCCTAAGATCCTGAAGCAGTCCATGTCCAAATGCAACAAGATCTGGACAACATTCAGGCTTGAGCTGACAAGTGCCAAGTAACATTGGTGCTACAAAATGCCAGGCAATGACCACCTCCAAGAAGTCACAACCTAACCACCACCCCTTGTCAATGATATTATCACACTGAATCCCCCAATATCAACATCCTGGGGGTTACAATTGACCATTCAATGTTTTCTGGACTCGCCACATAAAAACAGCAATCTGCTCTTATAGCCAGAGGCTAGGATTACTGCAGTGAGTAACTCGCCTTCTGACTCCCCAAGCCTGTCCATCATCTACAAGGCATAAGTCAGAGTGTGATGGAACACGTTTGCCTGGATGAGTGCAGGTCCAACAACACTGAAGAAGTTTGACACCATCCACGACAAAGCAGCCTGCTTGTTTGGCACCACATCGACAAGTATCCGATTCCTCCATTACTGTTCAGTACCAGCAATGTATTCTATCTACAAGATGCACCCTTGAAACTCACCAAAGATTCTTACACAACACCTTGCAAACCCAAGATTGCTTCCATCTAGAAGGACAAGGGCAGCAGATACATGGGAGCACCACCACCTACAAGTTTTTCTCCGAGCCACTTACCATTCTGATATAGCAATCTATTGCTATTCCTTCACCTACGTTCCCCAGCCTACCCCCTCCTCTCTCTCGTTCTGAGCTCCCCTCCCCCTCCCCATTTCTGAAGAAGGGTCCCGGCCTGAAACATCAGCTTTCCTGTTCCTTTGATGCTGCCTGGCCTGCTGAGTTCCTCCAGCTCCACACTTTTTGTTATTGCTGTTCATTCCCTGTTGCGAGGTTAAAATCCCAGAATTCATTCTCTAATGGTCAACCAAAGAACGTGGACTGCAGCAGTTCAAGAAGGCAGCTCACCACCAACTTCTCAAGGACAGTGAGGGAGGGGCAATAAATGCTGGCCAGCCAGTGAAGCCCCCATCTGAGTGAATGTAAAAATAGGCAGCCAGTACAACTGCAATCTTCAGATCTACTGGCCCCGGTTCACGGACCTGAACCTTGTGTTCCCAAACACAAACCTCCCAGATTACTTCTTAAAAATTCTTTCACATGATGTAGGTTTCACTAGTTGAGCCATAATTTGTTTTCCATAACTATTGCCCTCACATGGGTAGTGGTGAGCTGCCTTAGAACTATTGCACTCCGTGTAGTACTCCCCAGAACGCTGTTATGAAGGAAAGTGTTTCAGGATTTTGATGCAGTGACCACAAAAGAACAGCAATATAGTTGCAACTCAGGATAGCTTGTGGCTTGGAAGGGAGGTTACAGGTGGTGGAAGACCTATGCATCTGCTGACTAAGTCCTTCTGGAAGATAGGGATTGTGTGTTTTAAAAGTACTGTTGGAAGAGTCTTGATGTGTTGCTACAATGCTTTGTGTTGATGGTACACACTGCTGTTACTGTGTACATCAGTGTTGAAGGGAGTGAACATTTTAAGGTTGTGGAGGTGTCAATCCAAGCCTCGAGCCCTTACTCCTTCCAGTCTGATTTTTGCTACCATTACTGTCCATCTTCAACACGGAACCATAATCCAACTCCTCGTCCCTGATACCTCTGTTCTCAGACCTCCTAGGCATCTTGGTATTCCCCAGTTTCCCAATTCCTGATTGGGTCTAATCCCCAAATTCACTGAGGTTAGCACTGTGCAGCATATCAGCTGCATTATTCTGAAGTCTGATATATGGTTTCTAGTCAGCCCTTTAACATCAATGTTCTCGTGTATGATATATCCTTGTACCCGCTTAATACCCAAAAATAGACACGCCCAAATTGTCACTGAGATGAACTCAAATACTCTAACTTGTCGGTTGGAGATCAAACTGAGCATTTTACTGTTATGTACAGTTTAGGATGGAATTTGTTTTAATCACTTTATGCTTTGCTTGTATATCTTCCCAACTCCTTCCTGCTGATGTGGACTGATGACTATTGTTAGCAACTTATCAAACTGATTTACATTTTAATTTAATAATAATCTAAGCCAAAAAACTACAGTTGGAGTTGGGCATTGGAATGCTCTGTCAAGTTGATGGCGAAATTTGCCTTTTCAGCAATTGTGGCACCTGCTGGCAACACATTGAATTTCTTTGGCGTTCAGCCAATTTTGATTTTTTTAAAATAAAAGAGGAACTGGTCTGAAGAGGCTGTGGGGGTGAAATTCAACATTGATGGTGATAGCAAGTAGATTGTCCACTCTACAGGCGATCTAACTTCCCTTTCCAATAACTCCAATGCAAAGCAAAATCAGAATTTCATCCCCATTTCCCTTTCTCTTGGTGCATATTCACAAACAATTTTCCTTCTGAGCAAAGGTCACCAGACCCAAAATGTTAATTCTGATTTTTTTCTTTACAGATACTGCCAGACGTGCTGAGCTTTTCCAGCAACTTGTTTTTGTTCCTGCTTTACAGCGTCTGCAGTTCTTTCGGTTTTCAATTTTCCTTCTTCCTTTCTTATCAGGAACTCCAGAAAAGTCATTGGACTTGAAACATTAACTCTTTCTCATACCACAGAAGCTGTTAGGCTGGCTTGATTTCTCCAGCACTGTTTTTATTTCTGATCTCCAGCATCTATAGTATTTTGCTCTCAGTTCAGCTTGTCAGTGAAAACAATCCTGATTCACCCTCCCCCAATTTAAGTGACCTGAGTTTAAATTTGGTTCTTCGCCTCTTTCAGCCGATTATGTTTTCCGGGTGGAATGGGGAGTGTGCTCAATATGGCATGGGCTGGATGGCCCTTCATTTTTCAAGTGGTTCAAGTTCTGAATTCTGAACACTTTTGCTCCCTCACTTCCAAACCTGAGGCCTTCCTGACAAGTTTGGCTCAGGGATTAGTAGATCAATTCTGTGAACTATTGGAAAATGTTTATATTGGGGATAATTTACACGAGGTCTGCTCCATCTTGTCTTTAAAAAAAAGCTTTGCAAGGTTCCTGCAAACCCTGAAGCCGACTTTGGCTGGCTTTGGCCATTCTTGTGTTGAGCAGAAACCCCTTGCAGAAATTCCCAGGCATGACACAAGTCATTTTCCACACCTCCCACAATGTACAGTTGGAGTCCATCATTGCTTTCAACGTAGGAACACTGGACCACCTGTTCTCCCTATTGATAAATTATCGACTCTAGGACCCAGAGGAATGAGCCTTGGGATGTTGCAACGTGTTGGAGAAGAGGCAAGGCTGGGCACCTTTACTTCCTGCTTTGCGAGAGGGGAGCCCTCACTCCAATATCCCGGCGAAGAAGGATCATTATTATTGATTGAGCCTTTGCTTCAGCATCCGTAAAGACAGTGTCTGAGCTGTGCCGGCTGCACACAGTCCCCGAGATTTTGGCTGAAGGGTGGCGGCTCGAGCTGTTGTGTCGCGCGCAGGAAGGCGGCCGCTCCTTCCGACGACATGGGGAGGAGGGTGGGACGGTGAGGGAGGAAAAAAAAACTTTGCGAGAGCGGGCACGGTATTCTGCTAAACATGGCCGCACGGTCTTGTATGTTCAGGGGATGCCATGCACCGGACTGTACAGGGCCGAAGTGCCATGCCTAAGTGGAGACAGGGGAGGGAGAAACTTTCTTTTTAGTTGCAGAACATCAGCTCGTTTGGAGAAGGAACAAATTTAATAAAGTGCAGACCCAACTCCGCTCGTCTGTCGGGGAGGGGGGTTTCGCTGCGTTGCAGAAAGGAGCGACAGGTTTAAGCGCAAAAAGGTAGGTGCAGCCTGAAAACCGTTTTGCATTTTTTAAAACGTCGCTGGAAGTTTTGTTCCCCTTCCTCCGCTGCAGGCTGTCGGTATGCAATGAGGGAGAGGCCTGCTATGCAGTACTGCTGGTTGCAATGGTTTAGAAGTGCATTCGGAGAGGGGGGGGGGAGGGAGGGGGTCAGAGAGACAACATTTACCTGAGTGATTGACAGGTCTGCTGCTGTCAGCAGAAACGTTCCAAGGGGCAGACTTGCCCAGGAAATGGCAGATAACAGCCGGCACTCTCCTTTGGGTGCATTGAGTGGGTGTACTTTTTTGTTTGAATCGTGCTGAATAATTTACAAATGTCAAAGTGTGGTAAGTGTCCCATATGTGACAGTGAACGTCATTTTTGGAGGATAATGGATTTTTCCCCCACCCCATCCCATTTGTCTTTTACTGCGGTAGTTATTGCACTCTGGAAGGGGCGGGAGTTGGAGTGTACGGTTCTCATTGGAGTTGAAAGCAGAAGTTCGATCCTCCGGCTTGCCACCGGCGTTTTTCAAGTTGTTGGTTTGTTTTCAGAATGGGTGCTCATGTTTTAAATGAAACACGAATGATGGACGCCCGTGAACTCTGTAGCTGAGCGCACCATTCCTATCTGATGGGGTGGACACGTGAAGCGCACTTCGCATTGTTTGGGTGAGGCAAATGCAGGTGTACAATAAGGTCATTGTTCACTCGATTGCAACATTGACTGAACTGCATCTTTGTAGAAGTCATCTGGAAAGAAGTCTGCGCAAAACCTGAAAGCTTGCTGCAATGATGACCCTGTATTAAGGGTAAAAAAGATGCGAATCATTGACACGTATGACTAACTATAGAGATCCCAGTTTTTCAAAAAAAATGATATTTTATCGGATTAAAATCTATGCAAAACAAATCTCAAACGAGCCAGTAAAAATGTACACAGGAAAACTGAAATATTTAAGTGCAAGTGTATAATGATGTCTGATATTTTTGTCTGCAGGGGAACATTTATATTCCATATTTTTGTTGCCTGTTTCAGGGAACACGCATGTGAGACAATAACTGAAAATATTGGAGAAACTCCTCGGGTCTGGAGTCATACTGGACTCAAAACATTAACTGTCGCTATCTCCACAGGCGCTGCTAGACCACAGTTTTTTCATCATTTTAGACTTCCAGCATACATTTATTCTGCCTTTGTTAAAAGGAATGAGAGATTGGGTTAATAACACACAGAACCATGGATGTTGGCAACCTGAAACAAAAGCAGAAATCGCTGAAGAAACTCAGCAGATCTGGCAGCATCTTTGGAGAGAGAGTTTATGTTTTGGTTCCAGCGATACTTCTTCAGAACACCGAGATATTGAGTTAGAAAATCGGAGCTAACGTTTCGGGTCCGGTGACCCACGGAAGGGTCTGAGTTCTGAGGAAGGATCACCAGATCTGAACCACTAACTCTGATTTTTTCTTCACAGATGCTGCCAGACCTGCTGAGCTTTTCCAGCAACTTCTGTTTTTGTTCCTGATTTACAGCATCTGCAGTTCTTTTGGTTTTTATGAGATGTTGGGTTACTTGTTAAGAAAGAACATGGGAACAAATATAGGCTGTTCAGTCCATGAAACTTATTAATTTAGATTATCGTTATGTATTTCAAGTTAAATTAATTAGCTTGCCTGTGTTTTGGGTTTTTTAGTGCACTTGCCAATGGAAGATTTTAATTGATCTATCTGATGTCACTCTTGAATGGCCTAGCTCTAAGTTTACTGTTATACAGAAAATTAGAAAGTAACAGCAGGAAGCAGTCATTCAGCCTATTCTACCAATTAGTTGGATCGTGACTAATCTTCTATGTCAATTTTCCCACACTGACCCCATATCATTAAATCATAAAAAGTAGGAGCATCCAGAGGCTATTTAGTGCAATGTGGAATTGAATAAGATCATGGCTGATCTGATTGTGGCTTTAACTTTATTTCTTTGTCTGCCTTCTGACAATCCTTGAAATTATAAGTAGAAAGACTGGCTAAAATATATCTCCATTTTGGACACCTGTCACTAGAGGAAAAAAAGGTAGATGGACAGAAAAGATCAATTTCTTTTTATTGTTAGTGATAGAGAATCTGACAGTCATCCCCTTGCTGTTCACTGACATCACCATCACTGAATCTTCCACCATCAAAATCTTGGGGGTTACCATTGGAAAGATTCTTAAATGCACCAATGGTAACTTATAGGAGAAGGTTAGAAGTTAAGAATCTCTCGAAGAGTAACATACTTCTTGACTTCCTGAAGCTAGTCCACAAATTTCCAGGTACGAGTTGGGAATATGATGGAATACTCTCCATTGAAGTAGATGAGTGCATTTCCGGTGACATTGAAGAAGCTAGATCTGGAATTAGGCAATGTTTGATTGGCACTCTCTCCATCATTTTCTTCATTCACTCCTTCCAACAGTGCAGAATGGGAGTAGCATGCACCATTGATAAGATTCACTGCAACAACTCAACAAGCCTCCTTCAGCAGCAGCTTCCAAACCTGACTTCAGTCATATGGAGGGACAAGAACAACAGGTTCTCCTCCAAACCACACAATATTCGGACTTGGCGATATTTCTTTGTCTCATCAAAATCCTGCAGCCCTCTTCTTAACAACAGTGTGTATCTACAGTTGGAATGCAACAAATCAGGAAGTTGACTCACTACCACTTTTGAGGGTAGGTGATAAATTGGTGGCAACAACCATATCACATGAACAAATATTAACAAAAAATCTTCACCACAGTTAACTGTTTTCGAATATAAGCCTAATCTGCATGATCTCACTTCTACGATTTAACTCTGTATCATTCTGGTGAGTTTGTGCAATACTGTTCTTCATGAGGGATAATGGCCAACATTCTGGCTTTGATATGTTATTTCGTGGCCCAGAAAGCATGGGGTCAGACCAAAATTCCTGTACGTGCAGAAGTGCCCATGGTTACTGAGTTCTGCTTCTATTTTGTAGGCTTATGGGTCACTTTTTGCATCCTTGCAAGAGCCATGATGATAAGTAATGTGCTCACCGTCGTCCTTTCCCACAGAATGCAACTGAACATGGAAGAACTTGCATTCACGTAGCACCTATTGTTTATCTCCATTTACGTAGTTGTTTGATTTGTGGTAATGCAGAGAGTTGCTGTACTTTTCTATGGCACACTGGTACTTTTCTTAACAAGTAGGCACTTTACGTCTGAGTGAGCAGAGATATTGAATTTGAATCTTTTTTGTTTCTTGCTTTACATTTTCCTCCCAGCGTGCTTGACAAGAGTGAAAATATCGACTTCTGGCGCACAGCACTACTCCACTGGGTATGGGTTTCTAATTGTCATCTTGCACCAGATCAAGGTTTAATCCTGATTAAACTTACTTGAAAATGTACTTACAATTTACAGTTTACAACACTTGTGATATTAGTTATATACTAGTTTCAACAACATTGGCATCACAAACAAGGATTGTTGAACAAGCTGTTGGTTCTTTGCAAAAAGGCTTTGCATCAGGCCTGCTTTAAGTCAGCACGTACATGAGTTGAGGGATCATTTAGTATTCTGACGATTGCACAAATCACACTATTGCTAACAGCTGCTGGTCCACTTTTATTTTTGATCACACGTATACAGCCAAAAATGTAATCCTAGCTACCTGTACAAGAAACTAATGAGTAACAATGAAAAGCTCAAGGAGCTGAAATTAACTTGCAGATTACTGGAATGCCAGAATGTGCTCTTCAATATTGCATGATTGTTGACTGTTTCACACTCTCATTTTTAAAAAACAAGATCCTGAGTGCTTGGGGCTAAACACATCTGTCATTCTTTAGAGATAGTAAGAACTGCCAATGCTGGATCCGGAGGCAACACCGTGTGGAGCTGGAGGAACACAGCAGGCCAGGCAGCATCAGAGGAGCAGGAAAGCTGACGTTTCGCGTCGGGACTCTTCTTCAGAAATGGGGGAGGGGAAGAGGGCTCTGAAATAAATAGAGAGTTGGGGGGGGCAGTGATAGCAGATCGGTCGAAGAGAAGACGGACCGGTCAAGGAGGCGGGGATGAAGCTAGTAAAGGTGACTGTATGTAGG